TTTTTATTCTCTGGAAAATTAAAGATTGATTTGCAGGCCCCGGGGAAGACCCAGGACACGCTGGAGGGACTATGTCTCTCGGCTGGCCTGGGAACGCCTCGGGATTCCCCCAGAGGAGCTGGAGGAAGTGGCCGGGGAGAGGGAAGTCTGGGTTTCCCTGCTGAGACTGCTGCCCCCGCGACCCGACCTCGGATAAGCGGAAGTAAATGGATGGATGGATGGATGGATTTCACAGCATGTCCTCTTTAGTGTACAACAGGAATAAATATGTTTCCTTACATCAGTGCAAAGATAGATGCAAAAACAACATGTCTACTACAATGGACATAAATGAATGGGTGGGGTCTCAGGAGGATAGGGGTAGTGAGGCCTCTTGACAGCCCTGTATCGTGAGCTTACCTGGAGGTTACCTGCTAAATGCTAAACAACTCAGCGTATCTGCTGAGCTCAGAGAGGGTTTGTGTGTCTGTACCGAGTCACGTGATTGATGTGGTAGATCTGGCTAATCATGACACGTGTCGTCTATGCTACTCCTCAGCCTCAATGAGCGTGCCCACCTACTGACTCGAGTCTTTAGGAAAACACCCTCCAACCTGGTGCGCTCAAACTCCGTGCAGCAGACTGTGTCACGTAAGTGTGTCTGACTCCTCCCAAATAGCTGTATTAGCATTACCAAGATATGTTAGCTCTGTTAGCATTAACGTAGATATCTTATCTTATATAGCTGTGTTAGTGTTGCGTAGATATGCTAGCATTGTATCACTTTAGCCATGCACAATTGTGTTAGCACTATGTAGTTTTCTCCGTGTCGCATAGGTGTGCTTATGTCCTACAGGCATGTTAGCTTTACTCCTCTCTGTATTCCAGATGGCTACGCTTTCTCCCAGGAGGAGCATGGGGTGGTGTCCCAGTCCCAAGTGGTACGCTCCTACGACACCACTCGCCGCTCACATGCCCACGTGTAGCCACCCCAGCATGCTCCACCCCAGGCAGAGGGACTGCAGTGCAGCTGCTGGGGAGTTTGTCTTGAGTGGGACGGAGTGTGATGGAGCAGCACTCACTGCAGAGGCCTTACTGGAAGTCTGATGCTACACACGGACAACCTTGCTGGGTGTGGCGTGCTGGCTGGAGGGGGCCTGGTGTCCTAGGAGCCTGGTCCTCTCACAGAGGCCAGGGGTCAAACTTGGTTTTTCAATTTTTATTAAGGGCAGTCAGGCACAGCGCACTCCCAGTTTGCCACATATGAGTACAGTTTTCGTTTTATGAGTCTGTGTGAGTGAGAGCATGTTCGTGTGTGTGTGTCTCTGTGTGTGTCACTCCTCTGCGCACCCTTTCATCTCGCGCTCCTGAGCCAGAGATTTAACACATCATTCATCGCCGCGGTGATGGTGGGGGGTAGTGTTCGGGGCCCTTTTAAATAAACATGAAGCACACAGGCCTGGGAGGAATTCCTTTCAGGGAGTGTGTGTGTGTCGGGCACGCTGCCATGTTTCAGACCAGCACCCCCCCACCCTAGAGCACTCTACACCCCCATTGCTGTCAGGCAGCCAGGAAACACAGGAAGTCTGCCTGAAATGAGGCCAGCAGAGCCCAGCACAGCACCCCCCCCGACAGCACTCTCCCACCCATCAAGACCCTCTGGCCACGCCCTCCTGCCCGTCAGGACCCCTCCTGGATGCACCCGCCAACCTCCACATTTCCCCTCCATGTCTCGTTGTGGCACGTCTGTTTGTGTTTCACTGCTTTGCGATCCTCCATAGAGTCCCACCCAGTGTATTGGACTGTGGCTGCATGTGGCCCCTCCCCCCATTGTGGGCCCCACCCCTCCATGTGGGGCCCCGCCCCATAGAACTCCTGCTCACTTCATACTGCCTAATAAAGTGGAATTTCGTCTCCCGTTGTGACCTTCTCTGCTGTTTTTCCTATTTAATCTGGACACTTGGGAACGTCATGAAGATAAAAGCTCGCAGATGGGCTGAGATGGGACTGAGCCTGATCCCGCTCTGGCCGGGTCCAGTTACAGCGTAGGTGGCTCTGCCGTCTGGGCGGCTTTAGTAATGAGATGTGGAACATTCCAATATTAAAGCATTGCTCTGAGTCTCGCTAAGTGTCACTCATGGCTGACAGGGACCCTGGTGCCGGGCCTCCAAGGTCCCTGGCTGTAACCATGGTAACAAAGGCACGGTGACCATGCCCAGCCAAACATTGTGGAGAGGAGGGCTGGGCCCACACCGGATGGGTCTTGTTTCAGCCCCTGCTGCTTATGCCCCCAGGGGTCTCTGTGGCGATCTGCCAGGAACATGGGCCAGCTGCTGTGAAAACGCATTTGTGAGAGTCTGGGTGTGTCTGGCAGTAAATATCAGGCGTGACTCTGATGTGTCACTTTGGGGACCCGGCTCCCTCTAGATTGGTGGGCCTACCCTCCTCTTTCAGTGACCAGTTTCATGAACTGCTCTCTCTTCAGCTGCTGACTCTGGTCTTCATACCCAATAGGCTGCTGTTGGTGGCAGACTCTGAGGTACACACATTCCCAATCTCAGGCCTGACCTTTATAAAATCCATCCCGCTGTGGGAGCATAGTGTGATTCACCCCCAGGCATCACGTCTGCGGGTTTTAGCCAATTTCATACAGGACGCAGTAACACAGGCAGAGCCCAGCTTCAGCCAATAACACCATCCACGCTAAATGTTTATTATAAAAAGCTGTCGGCACGTAGGCCACACACAAGTGTGCACATCACTGCATAAATACAGTTCTGTCTCTGGTACAGTTTACAGTTTGCTTGTCCTGAAGTCTCCTGCCTGCAGAGTCTGTGTCTGACACGCACGCTAATGTCTACGCTACACACATACCTTTAGCATCTGGGGAACAACGCCACTTCCTGTCCCCCCTGCTGAGCCAGGCTGTGTCTGCTCCAGCCTGTTGATAGCTGCTCAATAAGGTGTTTCTAAAGCCCACATTTTCTTAGAGCAACTTGGAGAGCAGGACACAGTCCACTGACACTGACACACCGACAGATAAACTGACAGACACAGAGGCAGGCAGAGAGGAGCCCAGGACATGCAGGACTTGGCAAACTGGAGATACTCCGTTATGAGCTGAGCAGTCCTACAAAAGGCTGCTGATGCACAGGAAGGATCAGCCTCACACACACAGAGCTCACACACACTCTACAGACAGACACACACACAGGTGATGGTGTAAATTCAAAGTGAGTCACCCCCATGCTCTTGTGTTTGGGAGCTTCTCATAGTCCGTCCTATGTTCACTTCATTCCATTTACAGCTCTACTGGGATCCAGTGAGCCGACTCTTATATTACAGCACCTGCAATACCCATTACACAAAATCTGCAAGCTCCACACACTCCATATCGCACACACTCTGTACCGGACACATGTAACTCCAGATGGTGTGTACCACGCACATGTAACTCCACCCTCCAGATACTGCACACGTGACTCCATGTGTCGCATACATGTGCGTTACATGTACATACATGTAAATCCACACTATCAATAACACTCATGTAACTCCACATGCAGCATACCGCATACATGTAACTCCACACGCTTCCTGTACTTCACAGATTTCCATACCAATACACACTGTTTAGAACATACTGCACTATGCACATATCACACTGTACATCTCAAGCTGCAGCTGATAAACACAAAGACATGAACACATGTTAACATACATACATGTGCAAGCACATCCAAGGGCAGATAAACACCATGAACCTCATCTTTCACCCTCACGTCTCTGTCGTACTGGGTACAAAAATAACTTTATACAAATTTACATGGCTTGCTCCGGCTCAGTCCAGGATGGGGCACAAGGTGGTGCAGCAGGCCCCAGTGGACAGTCATCAGGGTACAACGGAGCCCCATGGAGGAGTACAGCCTCCAAGGTGGGACGGGGCCCCAGAGGACAGTTCCCAGGGTGGGACGGAGCCCCAGAGCACAGTCTCCAGGGTGAAATGGGGCCCCAGAGCACAGTCACCAGAGTGGGACGGGGCCCCAGAGGACAGTTCCCAGGGTGGGACGGAGCCCCAGAGCACAGTCTCCAGGGTGAGATGGGGCCCCAGAGCACAGTCCCCAGGGTGCAATGGGGCCCCAGAGCACAGTCTCCAGAGTGGGACGGGGCCCCAGAGGATAGTTCCCAGGGTGGGACGGGGCCCCTGAGCACAGTATCCAAGGTGTGACAAGGCCCCAGGTGGAGTACAGTCCCTGGAGTGGGAATGGGCCTCTGGACAGAGGAGGGCATCTAGCGTGGAACAGTTTTCTCTTACATGGCTGTGGAACATAGGTATGTCCACCTAGTTCCACATACATTAACACAAACACAAGTACACACATTGTGACCCCTCCCCACAATATTCAGTGGGGGGGGGGCAGAGGCCCATCCTTTTATGACTCCACCCATCACACAGTCACTGGCGGGTACTTCTGCTCACTGGTCACACTGGTGGGTGGAGGGAAGGGTGAGTGCAGTGGTTGATAGCCCCCCTGGGCAGGGTCAAGGAAGGGAGGGGCGGGTGTGGGAGGGGCTGGAGCCAGGGGCTCGTGCTGCATGGCATAGCCAATGAACTGCGGATGGAGGAACTGCATGGGTGGAACTTGGGGGCAGCTAACCAGGGAGAAGCCAGCTGGAACGCCAGCATAGACTGTAGGGGGCACTCGTGGCATGGCTGGCTGAAGGGGCGGGGCCTGGCGGGGTCCTGACTGGGCAGAGGAAGAGCTGGAACTGGCGGCTGTGCTGGACTGGCGTGACGAAGAGCCGCGGGATGCCCCACCGCTCGGCATCATGGGAATGGTCTCTAGCAGCCGCCCCCCAGCCCCACCCGCACCACGCCCCCCTGATGACAGCTCTTGCTTGGGCCGCAGGCAGCGGCAGCAGCACACGGCCACTGCAGATCCAACCAGCACGAAGGCCACGAACACCGAGCCAACAATGAGGAAGGGCACGTAGATGGGCACTGTAGAGAGACAGAGGCGGCCATGTCAGCGCTGCTGTCACCATCACCGTGCTCCCTGTCACTGCAGGCTGACAGACGGCTCTCTGTGGCCTAATTTCAGATCCTAAGCAATGGACCTTAAGATGAGCCAATTCAAGATTCTTTAATTGTCACATGCATAGTCATACAGGTACATCATGCAGTGAAACGTATCCTGTACCACTCTTTTGACTGTGCAACTAGTTACAAAGGATATGAAAAGAAATTATAAGGAGAAATAAATAACATTTTTAAATAAATAAATATTTCATTGAGATTATAGTCTTATTTAGCTGGATGTAAAAGATGTAAACTGTGTAAACTTGGGCCAATGTTGTGCTGGGATGCATGCAAACTATGACAACAACACAGGGTGATTCATAATGCAATATAAAAAATGAATCAATTACAATATAGTGCATTTCTTAAATCCTTCACTTAATCAGTGATTCATATTGAAATTAAGTTATAAGCAATTAATGAAAAATACTTATTGGGATTTGGGGATTAGGATTATTTTCATTACTTACTAAACAGCCTCAACATAGCAAACTGACCTAGAGCCCCTTGAAGCCATAGACTGACATCCAGTTTTCCGCAACAAAACATTGGGGAATACTCAGGAACATTTGGAAAAATTCAGGAATACTCAGGAACACTGAGAAGTACTCAGGGATACTGCTTTGGATACAGCAATTTCAGTTTCAAGTCTCCAGCAATTTGTGCCTCTTAAAAGTCCACAGCTGGACTGTTCTGAGGTTCTCACTGGGGGCCTCTAGGTTGCAGGAACATATCCTTAAGCTCTGTGCTACCTGGGGGCCCATGAGCACCATGTGCCACAAGGCTAATGCAAATACCATTAAAAAATCCCATTAACACCACCATGGAGAACCTCCTGCTCCAGAACTCCGGGGGTTAACAGAAACATAGCTCCACGTGGGAGGCGTCTGTGAGGTAAGAGGGGCTCTCAAGCATGACATCTTTCAGATTCAGTGGAAAAATACCATGGACTGGCTGGTCCCAGATCAGATGTACACAGCTAGCATGGCGAACAGGCACATAGTCACACTCAAATACAAGCCCACTGCAGCATTCTGGTGCATGTATGACAAACACAAACTCAGTCTCAGGCAAACTATTCGAGATCCAATAAAGCCACTTGCTGGAGAAGCTCCTGTTTCCATTCAGAAAGCCCTGCTTCCATCCAGGAAGCTTTGCTTCTTTCTCTATAAGCCTTACTTACTATTCTGACTGAGGTGCTTTAACAGGTGAAAAATTCAAGTTCCAAATTCAAGTTCATGTCATACTCTGCCCGAAGCCCACACACAGTATAACCTTGAAAGTTTATGACAAAATCTTGTGCCGCCCAGCCGTCGAATTTTACATATAATTTTATGTATTTAATGGTCCCTGTGAAGTGCTGTGTGGGAAATGTACAGTGTTAAGAGGGGAAGAATGGGATCCGTACATCGGTTTTCTTTCAGTGTACTTTAATCTTATAGTGGGGGTTCACGAAAAAAGGTTATATGATTAATTTGTAAAGTTAGGCAGGCCTGCTATTCTGAGCTGCATCGCCGCCGCTTCGCGATTTACGGTTCCCTGTGAGCTTCATAAACTGCCCTGGCGTCACTATTCTGGGTGTCTCCAGCGCTCGCGAATCGGCGGCGGCGCGCTGCAGTGCGCGTACGCCGGGTCTCCGTGCGTACAGTGCTGTCTCGAGGGCTGGCGCGCACACCACTGCACGAGCGTCTCGCTGTTAGAACAAACGCAGTTATTTTTAGCAGCGCTGCACGGTTTGCCAGTTATTAATGCGGCCGGTTATCTGCCTCTCCACGCCGCCTGCAGCTGTCACTAATAGCCAATGGGAAACTTCCAGGGTCAACATGCAACTGAAACGTTAAAAGCGATCCTCCTGTCATTGTCGTCTAATTGGCAGATTAATACAGCAGATACCAGCTTTTCATTCACTACCATAACCTTCTACACTTTCTGTAATTAGGTATTCTCATTTTATTAATACTTTGCTACAGAAAATGTATATGCTGTACTTTAAGGCAGTTTTCACAAATCAGCACCTGGAGGTATATAACTTATATAAGTTCTATCATTAACATGCCTGCCAGGTGGTAAGATGAAGCCACGCCGTCAGCCCACCTGCGCCGCCGTCTTTGTCTTCCTTACTTGCAGTGCCCGGCCCTGCGGCTTGCTTGTCGTCGTCGCAGGTCCCTTGGTCCAGCCGGGCTTCGCTGCTCGCACAGCAATAGCGAAGCTCGCACTTTCCGCAGCAGATGATTGCTTCCTGACCATCGAAGCGCTCCGGGCACTGGAAACCGTCACGCCACGCGCCCTGCGGGTCGTGCCAGCCGTGACAATACTCGCCGATGGCCTGCACCTCCATGACCGCCAGCAGGAGAGTCGTGACCACGGCGAGAGACATCAAGGAACCTGTAGTGAGCATAACAGAACCAGCCCCTCGGGTTTGGCTGCGTGACAGCTGTGTGTCAGCCTGCGTGGTCTAGCCTTGGAAAATAGACAGCCTGTTTAATGATGGACCGACAAGCGAAAAGTAAAAAGCCAAAAGAAAGCATCCGAGAGGAGTGTTCTGTAATCCAAAGTCACGAGCGCCCTTTCGTTTGCTTAAATAGCAACCCACCGCTGAACAACTTGAAAAGTCTGAAAAGCAATTAATTGTAGACAGAAGTGATACGACCAGTGCGTTTTTCCAGATGACTATGTAGAGCGTGCATTTTTTACAGCAAAGACTCAAACTGCCGTTGAAATCAGAATCCATGCAGCCCAAGTGAACCAGTACTGGCGCGGAAGTAATGCGGAGCTTGTCCCATGTCTACCCAAGTAACACACGTCTCATATAACTTTTCCCCGGAGATGCACAGAAGCCAGCTCTGATTTACATGTAATCCATACGCGCCGGGATCTTCTCACGGACTGCTTCTGCTCTGCCCAGGAGACCAAGTCATACTGACGTTTTCTTAACTTCTATTCCATATGAATCTTTCCACCATCCCCGGACATAGGCAAACTGCGAGAGCTCTACGGCAAATAGCCTTCCAAAGCAAAACACGGGGAACACTGGAAATCGCAGAGTCCGACAACGGTACCCTCCTGACGGCAGTGGTCCGTGGATAAGACCAGTCCCGCAAACGACTTTTCAGTGGAGGGGGTGCATCCAGTTGCGCTTGCGCAGTACAAGCTCGCAATGTATTTGCCTAGTTAAGTCTCAACCAGCCAATTGTCAGCGTTAACGACCCTGTTTTGCGGGACCATATATCTTATGAGTTGGTGGAAGGCCCCAGTGTACGGAACCCCAGTCCGCTCTAAGTGCTTCAATGTGCGATCCGCGCTGGACTGCTCCGGAACACCGTGTGGGAAGTCCGTTGATGGAGAGAACAGCGGGGGCGTATGTGGTGCCAAATTACAAGTCATGCCGTTAAGAAGTACAAGGTAGCAGCCATGACCAATGACGTTGAAACTCTTATTTCCTACCTTATGATGTTCCCCATCCAGTGCATTGAATATTCAGGCAGATATCCAGTATACAGATCACCTCATGTAACATTCTTACATTTTCGTTGGTCACTGTTAAAGTACTTCGTTCATACATTTGTCTACTGCTAGATTTAATGGTAACACTTTATAATACTGTTCCGTAGTTAACAGGTAAATATGCAAGAAGTAAGCAGCAACAAAGGAGTAGTGCTTCATTAACACCTAAATTGGTACTATTAACTACTAAGGAATTATGCTTAATTACTCAATAGGTAATAGTGAACTAATTATTATAGTAGTTCGCTATTACTTCATTAGGAACTATTGAGTATTGCTGGTCTCTGGGAATTATATACTAACTATGGATTATTTCTAATAACTACTAGTTCATTACTCATCAAATGAACAGTGCTTTTTTTTGGACTAACAGGAACTTACAGGCTACTGTTCTCAATGGTTTTTGCCATTTTTTTCCTTTTGGAATAACAGCAACAACTTATTCTACAAAATATTACTGCCTAAAATATGTATACAGTACCTACATTTTAATTATTTACCTCACTTCAGTCCGTGTCCCAGTGTTCTTCAAACTGTGCTTTGAAGTGCAACTGAAGGGATGGTCAATCAGAGACTCGTGTTTTGCCACATGATGTGCTCCACCACATATTGTTGATCTTTTCTAAACATTAAAAAATTAATGTATGCATTTTAAATAAGGAATGAAGTAATGAACTAATGACCTAAATAAAACTAATTGTAACTCATTAGTAATGAAAGTGGCGTTACTGACTTCTTCAATAGGAGTTACTAAAGAACAAGAACAGTATTATAAAGTTATATTATATTGTAACTCATTAGTAATGAATGTGGTGTTACTGAGTAAGCTTCTATTTCACAAACATTCACTGGGTTCTTTTTAAGGGGTTAATAAGAACAATGAATGTTAACATAGCTTATTTGTTTCACTTAAACATTCATGTAACACTTCATGACACAACAGCATAAGTTCATTTTAAACATTTAATTTGAAGCACATGTTATATTAACATCACAACTAAATTTTTTAAATCAAATTACTTTACATTGATTACACATCCATCCCATTAAAACTATTTACACATTTCTGATGTCATGTAACAAATGTCCAAGTGGTCCATCCTTGTGCTTTTGGCCCAGCCAGCATGTCCAGTCAATCGGTCTTTGTCCGCTGACGTCACACTCGCTATAGCCGCAGTGTATTGTGGGTCAAATCGCCATTTTGGTTGTATACAACGCAAGAGCGAGCATTTGCGTCCGGTATTATCTTTGGTAATTTAATGTCCCAGTAGAAAAAATCAGAGCATAATTAATACTACATGTTAGCAATGCGATTTGAACGATCACTGTCATAAATTCTTCCGTAAACTTAAAATAAAAAACAAACCATTAAATCCATCAAAAGTTTAAGCCTAATAGTGGAGTGGATTTTGTTAGCGGCAGCGCCATCTTCTGGGACTATCAGGCGTTGCGAGGCTGTCAGTCTCCAGCACGTAAGTAAACATTTTGTTCCAAACAAGTTGTTGATAATATTCGATATAATTAATCTGGATATTATTAAAGGATAGTCCATGTTCATTTTCACCCAGAATTTATTTAACTTCCCTCTGTATGTTTTTACTGAGTAATAGGTCCGCTGTATAAGACCTCATTTTACTTTTATTGCACTCCTACAGGTTTCTTTTTTGATTCCTCTTCTCTGTTGAACTCTGGCTTTCTTTTTCTTTCTTTCTTTCTTTCTTAATTAAGAAGGGAAAAAATGAAATATCCTTTAATAATATCCAGATTAATTACTCAATCGATCAATTAATTAATCTGGATATTATTATAGGATATTCCTTTCTTTCCTTCTTAATTAATTAATTAATCTGGATAGTATTAAAGAATATCTTTCTTTCTTTCATTCAGTAATGGATGCAGCTTACCCTTGTTAATCGCCTTGGAGTGACTTCGGAGTGAGATTGCTATAATATACTGTATTTTGTCTTGTCTTACTACACTGATAATTTGTCCCTTATTTGCACTGCGGGGGCGGCATGGTGGTGCAGTGGTTAGCACTGTTGCCTCTGGGACCTGGGTTCGAGTCTCCGCCTGGGTCACATGTGTGTGGAGTTTGCATGTTCTCCCCGTGTCGTCGTGGGGTTTCCTCCGGGTGCTCCGTTTTCCCCCCACAGTCCAAAGACATGCTAAGGCTAATTGGCGTTGCTAAAATTGCCCTTAGGTGTGCGTATATGAGTGAATGGTGTGTGAGTGTGCCCTGCGATGGGCTGGCCCCCCCGTCCAGGGTTGTTCCCTGCCTCGTGCCCGTTGCTTCCGGGATTGGCTCCGGACCCCCCGCGACCCAGTAGGATAAGCGGGTTGGACAATGGATGGATATTTGCATTTTGCACTGCTGTTTCAAGTGAGACGCCGCGGTACGTTATAAAACTACATATCCCAGCGCGCCCATCGCGCACCGGGGCGTGGCCTGTGATTATTGTAGGAAGCGTCCGAACTGGGGGCCCCAGTCTGTGGCGCGAATCGTCGAACACCGGCGCCAGAGAGTAGCGAGACGGGCGGGAGTCGGCCGGTGAATATGGTGTTGTCGCTCTCGCTCCTATGACAGTGGCCCTCTAAGCTTTAACACGACATGTTAAAGCACATTAAGCGCGATTAGCGTGTTAAAGTGTACAAGTGTTTCGCGGTATTTTTATACTGGCAGAAAGGCTCCTTCCAGCTACATGTACGTGGCTTTAATGCGGTGTGAAAACTTAATGCTGTTTTCAAGTTGGACTGTTAATTATTAAACCGGCTATAACTCTGCATTGTTATATTTTAGGGAGGGAATAGTAGTATTTATTTGCGGTCGTGGCTTTGTTCTCTTCTTGCGTGAGTAGATGTCGTTTAGGAAGGCGACTCGGTCCGTCCACGGTCCCGGAAAGCGACCAGCCCGGCAGAGGAAGCCGCCCAGACCGAAGCAGGACTGGGTGGTATGTTTGTATGCCTGTGGCATGCGGGTTACGGGCTGCCGTCCCGTGATTACTTGAACGTCAGTTTTCCTTGTCCCATTTGGTCCTTCTGGTTGCTTTTGACGGATTGGTGTAAATGATCATGTTGTTAAATATGTAGTGCAATGTTTGCGTCTCTGACCTGAAGGTTTCACTTTAACTGCTGCTGTCTGCTTTGCTGTGATGTTTTCCTCTGATTTAGACACATTCTCAGTCACAGCGTGTTGATTAGATGTGTTGTTTCTGATCAGAGCACCGTCCATGACCTCACTGTTCACCAGGCCACACCTGAAGATCTGGTCAGTACCCCCGCAGCCTGTGCTCATTGGCTTGCTCCGCTCATGTGGCCCCTATGCTCAGTGCCTAAACGCCATCTGTGATCACAGTCCCGACGCCATGAGCTGCATCGCTCCAAAAACCAGGAGTCAGTGCAGCGGGAGGTCAGGCAGAGGGTGCTTAAGACCAGTGCGGTGGGTCAGGCTCACACCTCTAGCCCAGAGGTTTTCTGAGTCACTCTGTGTGTGTGTGTCTGTGTGTTATAGTTGTTTTTGGCGGCCTGTCTTAATTTAAATTTTATTCTAGTCTTTGTGTCAAGCTGTCATTTTAGTTATTATTAGTCTTAGTCACGTCCATACTCATTTTAGTCCAGTCAAGTTTCAGTCGACTAAAAGTCTGAGCATTTTAGTCATAATTTTACTCAGAATTATCCATGACTATTTTACTCTAGTTTTAGTCAACGAAAACTGATGACATTTTAGTCTAGTTTTAGTCAATGAAAATTGTATTTTAGTCTCTTTATTTTAGTAATGCAATTCTATTTTACCTAGTCAATATACACTCACCTAAAGGATTATTAGGAACACCATACTAATACGGTGTTTGACCCCCTTTCGCCTTCAGAATTGCCTTAATTCTACGTGGCATTGATTCAACAAGATGCTGAAAGCATTCTTTAGAAATGTTGGCCCATATTGATAGGATAGCATCTTGCAGTTGATGGAGATTTGTGGGATGCACATCCAGGG